ATGGATACACAGAGCTTGGTTTTTGAGTTAATGGACATATTTGTATTGTCTTTTTTAACTACATTTTCTGTTCAGTTACAAAATGGTCAATTGAAATGCAGAAAATACTTAATGCACAATAAAATTACTTTTACTGAAACAGCAGTGAAATGGAACGTTTCTGCTCTATTACAGTGATACAAACCGCACTGTTATTCTATAGATAATAGTTTCAGATGCAATGGCATATATTCTGATTTTCCCACACAAAGTGTTTAAACAAATACCGCCATTTTCTCAAAAAAAAATGACATGGTGCAAACTTGTTCCAGATTAATTTCAGCAACACATATAATATCTCATGTTTAGCTCGTAAAAATCGTGTTGGGAAATACAGAGCCCATGTTTTCTGTTGCGATTTCGTTCAAAAAGGCCAATGTAAGTTAATTCTTCCGATTGTGGAAATTGCCGAGTTTTGGATCTGTATTGTAAAATAAGTAAATCTAAAACAGGGCTTCATATCTCATCCATGCTATTCGGAAATTTGATTCAAAAAGTAGTATAGATGTACAGATACACCCTACATTTCACAACCAAAAAATCTATTATGTTGATACAGTTAGGGTAAGATAACTTAAAGAAGTCATAAAAGGCGTAGATTCCTCGCTTGAAAATGAAAGAAAATCCATCGGCGAACTCAGTCCCCTTTACATAGTCCAGGTTTATATTTTCAGTGTTATTTGTTTCTTAGGTAGGCTTCGGTCTTCGTTATATTGACTATTCCCGCAAAAACTATTCTGTATCTTTACAGATTCACACACGCTTATCCCTCTCAGCTCAGTCTCCACATCTCGTCCTCCACAGCTCAGTCTGCACATCTCGTCCTCCACATCTCGTCCTCCACAGCTCAGTCTCCACATCTCGTCCTCCACAGCTCAGTCTCCACATCTCGTCCTCCACAGCTCAGTCTCCACATCTCGTCCTCCACAGCTCGTCCTTCACAGTTTAGTCCACACAGCTCGTCCTCCACAGCTCAGTCTCCACATCTCGTCCTCCACAGCTCAATCCCCACAGCTCGTCCTCCACAGATCAGTCTCCACATCTCGTCCTCCACAGCTCAGATCCCACAGCTCGTCCTCCACCGCTCGTCCTTCACAGCTCAGTCTCCACATCTCGTCCTCCACAGCTCAGTCTCCACATCTCGTCCTCCACAGCTCAGTCTCCACAGCTCGTCCTCCACAGCTCAGTCTCCACAGCTCGTCCTCCACAGCTCGGTCTCCACATCTCGTCCTCCATAGCTCAGTCTCCACAGCTCGTCCTCCACAGCTCAGTCTCCACATATCGTCCTCCACAACTCAGTTCCCACAGCTCGTCCTCCACCGCTCGTCCTTCACAGCTCAGCCTCCACATCTCGTCCTCCACAGCTCAGTCTCCACATCTCGTCCTCCACAGCTCAGTCTCCACAGCTCGTCCTCCACAGCTCAGTCTCCACATCTCGTCCTCCACAGTTCAGTCCCCACAGCTTAGTCTCCACATCTCGTCCTCCACAGCTCGGTCTCCGCTTCTCCGCCGCACCACTATGTTTCGTATGCCCCATTTCCTCTCTGCCGACCCCATTGGGTTCCCTACACGTTTTCCCCGTTGCTTCCTTCGGCATTCGATTCACCGATATCTACGGTTCATCTACTATGCTCTCTGCTCATTTTCCCTCTTTTAGCTCGGATTTTTTTTTTTTTATATGACCTTTCTCTGGTTGTGTCTTCAGCTTCCAAACCTTTCTCTCTCTCTCTCTCTCTCTCTCTCTCTCTCTCTCTCTCTCTCTCTCTCTCTCTCTCTCTCTCTCTCTCTCTCTCTTTCTCTTATCAGAGTTGTTCATCATCCCCTCCTTCATGTATCTTGAAGGGTTTTGTTCATATCAAATGTCTCTTTATTTTGGCTTATCTTTGTAAAACGCTAGCTGCATTGTTTCGAGAGAACACTTTGAAATATATCTGATAAAAAAGTTATGTATAGAAAATACCCTACGTTTGTCTCTCCCGTTCTCTCTCTCTCTGCCTATCTATCTATTTATCTATCTATCTATCTATCTCTCGTCTCCTCACATTTCTTTTATATCATGAGTTTTCTTACAACTAACCACGCTTCTCACTAAGATTTTCCACCAAGATGTAGTCAGAGGTAAACTGATGGCTTTGCCTCTTGTAAGTTTTAATTTGTTTTTGTTTCTTCTGGAAGGCAACGTTAACTACAAACTTTATGATGCATTGTTTCAACTTAACGTTTCGTCTCTCCAAATCCGTGCCGGGCAGAAACATGTGAGGTTTTGGATCATGTTCTAAAGTGAGTAGCTCACTTTATAGAACATTAAATATTATTTATTGTATCTTGCATCGTGAACGGTTTCTTTTTCTTTATTTCTTTCGTAAGTCCCGCCATCTTCCCCCTCTTTGCTTCTACTATTCATTAACTTATTAATCTGTTTATCTATCCACTTTTACCACTCTAATTTTCCGCAACGCGAAGTTTGCAAAATCCCCTGCCTAGTTATCCAGATTACCTAGCTCTCCACTTCGTTCCCATCATGCACAAGATCCAACATTTTCTCATCATCGCAAGCACTGCCTTCCAGCTTCTTTCCGTCCTCTCCAGCCTTGCTTCCTGCCCTCAAACCGACCATGAGCTTCGTCAGACGAAGCATAGAAGGCGTGGTTATCAGGGAGAGATCTTACGCGTCGCTTAGCGGGCTGACAGTGAGGCTGTTGTTGGTAAGGAGCCGGATCTTCCCGTCCCGAGAGCAGTAGCTTGTTATCTGTCTGTCTGTTTGTCTGAAGGTCTCTCTTCCATTAGTATGGAAAATAAGTACAAAGCGGAGAATTCATTCAGCACGAGGCCAAGTAAACAAAAATAAGTTGTATTTAAGCTTATAGGTAGAAAAATAAAGGTTTTCGATATACCATACATAGTCCGTATGCACATAAAGAAAATAAATAATTACTTAGACCAGAAAGAAAGAAAGGGGCAAAGAAAAAAACGGAAAAAAAAACAAACAAACAAAAAAAAACACCAATTTGCGACTAAAATCATGAAATGGATAAATAACCCCAATACGTTTTAAAGAAGCTTCCCGACTAGATTTAGTGCAAAATTCTCGAAGACTTAAGCAGCAAATCTTCGAAGGAGCGTAATATTGCAAGGTCAAGGGGTGGGGGAGGAGGGAGAGGGGAGGCGCTGATATAGTGAGGGGGGAGGGGGGGGAGATGGAGGGGCATGGGTGGAGGGAGGGAGGGAGGGAGGGGTATGCGGAAGGCCAAGAGTGGGGAGAGGGAGAGGGAGAGGGGGACGAAATTGTTTAGGGGAAGGGATGGGGAAGAGGGAGGGAAGTGGTGAGATAGTGAGGGGTAAGGAAGGGGGAAGGGACACACGGGGGGGGAGGGGGGCGAGACACAGAGAAGTAGAAGGGAGGAGCGAAGAAGAAAGTTACTCTTCTTTGTTTCTCTTTCTCTCTCACCCTTTCTCTCTCCCTCTCCCTCCCCTTCTCTCTCTCTCTCACACCCTCTATCTCTCTCTCTCTCTCTCTCTCTCTCTCTCTCTCTCTCTCTCTCTCTCTCTCTCTCTCTCTCTCTCTCTCTCATTTTATTCTTCCTTTAAGTGCAATTTGGTTCATTTGACAATCTCTTAGCCTGAGTTCAGTGTCGTGGTGACAAGTGGCTACGTTAATGACAAAGATTTGGAGTTTTCTTTTAAATGAATTTTTCCTATTGTCATTATTATCGGGATTTCCAATAACAATAGCAATTGTTATTATCATTATTTTCCATTATTCAAATCACAGTAAGAATATTTAGAATGTAAGTGACCTTACTGAATAACTGTTTGTCTTATAATCATTAAAATCATTAACACAGTATAATATCTTACGTTACCGATACTATTATATATAACTACTGTCGTTGGTACAAGTGTCGAGAGTGTTTTGTAATCGTCGCCATTCTGCATGTATGTATGTATGTATGTACGTCTATCCGTGTGTCTATCTGTATGTATGTTTGTACGTCTGTCTGTCTTTCCATATGTCTGTCTGTCTGTTTGCTTGTCTGTGTGTCTGTCTGTGTGTCTGTCTGCCTGTCTGTCTGTATTTATATATGCATATGTATATGTATGTATGTACATACGTGCGTATAACATAAAGTAATTATGAATTTATGCATATATATATATATATATATATATATATATATATATATATATATATATGTGTGTGTGTGTGTGTGTGTGTGTGTGTGTGTGTGTGTGTGTGTGTGTGTGTGTGTGTGTGTGTGTGTGTGTGTGTGTGTGTGTGTGTGTGCATGTGTATGTGTGTGTGTGCGTTTGCGTGTGCGTGTGCGTGTGCGTGTGCGTGTTTTAACAATTACTGCTAAACTGTCGCCTTCCTGAATATATAAAGCGCAGCCTTTCCCCTTCGGTCATTTTCTAAATTTCCCAACGCAGCATATTGTGAGCAACGTGTTCCTGAGGGCCATAAATCGAGAGAAGAAGACACGAAGGCTTGCGTTGGGCGCGAGGGGAAGAAAAAAAAGAAGAAAAAAAGCAGATTAGACATTTGCTTATGGTTGACGTGACCCGAGGGAACGCTGCAAAAGCCCCATGGAAATTTCTACCGCTGATGCTTGAAATTTACGGCACAAGAGAAATTTTGGCCCCGAGCCCGCACGATCGCGTAACTCAAGTACGTTTCCTCTTTAGACATAGGTACGATAGCTCGGCGGGGAAAAAATAGACTCCCGTTTTCTTTGCTCTCGCCGCTAATGGGGGTCTCAACAAGTGCTCTCGAAAGTAGAACGAATTACTGTTTCAGTGGTCTAGCGGAGAGAGAGTACGTGGTGCCGTTTTTTCTATTGTGAGTAGAAAACACTTGGTGTGCATTTTGTTTATCAGAGTGAATATCTTCATGTTGTTTAAAAAAAGAAGACTTCAGTCTTGTTTAAACACAATACATATATATAAATATATATATATATATATATATATATATATATATATATATATATATATATATATATATATATATGTGTGTGTGTGTGTGTGTGTGTGTGTGTGTGTGTGTGTGTATAGATGTACACATGTACGTATATATACATATATACATACGTATATATATATATATATATATATATATATATATATATATATATATATATACACATAAATATGTATATATATATATATATATATATATATATATATATATATATATATATATATATATATATATACATACAGATATGCGTGTGTGTGTGTGCGTGTGTATGTGTACATGTATACAAAGAGTGAGAGAGAGTAGTCCTTCCGAGAGCCCCCCCACACCACAAGATGAAGAACCGGGTGAAGGGAAAGGCAGGGATGTTAGGGAAAGGTCAAGAGGCCGAGAGACAGCAAACAAGGAGCGGACAAAGTGAAAGTCTTATTTACTAGCCCCAAAGGACTCGTTTCTTGAACCATCTCAACGCAAAACCTCCTTGTGTTCTTGAGATTAAAGTGTCGGATGTTGATGGATGTGCTCTGGGCCGAACGGTCGCGCGGTCCAGTCTGCAGCGTTGCGGATCTGGGTCATACATCGTCCGTCAGAAGCCCAAGGCGAGACTGGCGACGCTTTGAAACGAGACGCTCGGCTATTGGGGACTTTAGGGACAGGGATACTATAATTGGACATCGACACATGGGACTCTGATCCCCTGGACACGTATAGCTCGTCAAACACCTATTTGACACGAAATCCATCGTTCAGAGGAGAGACACCAAGTACTTACGGAACTTACAAAGGTCAAAGCAATTTGTATTTGCACTTCAGATGATCAATACTCGAACATCAAATGGAAACCCTTGAATGGAATAGTAGTATCGAATGTAGTAATGCAGAACGAGAAAACAAAGGGCTCTTCAGAATTTTGAATGCTTTTCAACAACTATTTTCCGAAAATAAGAACAACTTTGGTTTAACTGATACTTACCTTCAACGACACCATAACATTTCCTTTCACCACATTCCTTTCTTTTAAACATTCTTTTATAAACTACTTGATAAAGTGTTATTTCGCTCGTATTCCAAAAACACTTAATTTCTATCAAATACGCCGCTGAGAGAGATACAGTCGCAGCTGATGCAGAAACAACAAATGCAGCTGAATCAGTAGCAGCTGCAGCGGCCGAGCGAACAATAACCTCGACCACCACAAATATTGGCAACTCCATGGGACATCGGGAGGAACGTAGAGGTTGCTCGAGGTTATTTGTTCATTCATTCTCCAACCCCCTCCCTCCTCCCCTTCTTCCCCCTACCCTTTCCCCCTTTGCCCCTCCCCCCCCCTCATCTTTCGTATCCCCCCCCCCCTCCCCCTTTCCCCGAATCTCCTCTTCTCCTCAATGGTCCAGCGAGAGATTTGTTTTCCCGGAACAAACACTCGCCGGACCTGAGCACGGGACCTGCAACTCCCTGCGGCAAACGATGCATTCGGGTTATCATGAGACCT